TTCGCGAAAAACCGAGAACACAGAGCCGGGGACATGTGAACAAGGAATACCCTGCTCTCCGTGTTCATCAGCTTGTACAGTTCCGTCAAGATGAGGTCACCAGAGGCCGACGGCGGGAGTACGCACCTGTAAGGGATGCGAGCTCCGACGGCTTTAATGGCATCAACAAGATAAGGCACCACCCCGGTGCCGTACTCTGACTGCTATCAGAACCACCTGTTTCCACCCCTAGAACTGCACGAGGGCTGCCACAGACTGCGCCTGGAATGAGTCGTTCAGGGCAGCACGGACGAAGTAGGGGGTCTTCACAGGCGAGAGAGATGGGCTCGTCGCCGAGGAGACGATTGGGACCCTGACCCTGTTTCCTAGGTCAACGATGAATCCTGCCTCGTCGGAAGTCTGTGGACCGATGATCGCATGCACTCGTTCAAACCTCAGCAGATCGACGGCTGGATCCGAGCTCAGGCAGGAAATTAAATGAAGGGGAGATGGTTACATAATTGTGGAAAATACTGCAAATCCTGTCCTGAATTGAACGGAAACACTTTCACGCAGAAATTTACATGACGAATCTGACCAGCAGCTAGGGGGATCGTAGAAACAAGGTCATCATTCCGACTTATCATCGAAAGCACCAACGGAAAATATATTAAGTATAGTATTCTTGAGTTTTTATGGGCTCCAACATAACTAGAGAACAAGTATAATTAAGAACAATCGATAAAAAATTATAACAGATTGAACGAGTGGATGATTAATCATCAAGTTTGAGAGAGACTGTACCCACAGAGGCGGCTGTAACGGTGTCCCGTCGCGAATCTCTGAAATGGAGGTCCAGCCTCGTGGCATAGTTCGGGTGCTCCGCGTAGAAGTCGGAGACGGCTATCTGCATGCAGAGGCGCGTTATCTTCCCCACCGGGGATCCGAGATCTACGATAACGCCGACCTTGAACGGTGACGACGAAGGACCGTCACGGCCCACCTCCCTGTCCATCCGCGGCGTAGCTTGGGAAGAATAGAAGGAAAACAGCAAGAGAAAGAAGAAGAGGAATGTTTCGCTTCGAAGGGCTTCCATGTCTTCTCATTGAGATCAGGGACAGAGAGTGAGAGATAGGGAGATGTTCAAAGCAAGGTGGGTAGAAGACGGGAGTCCTCGAGGAGGCAGATGAAGGCCAAGTGTTCCTACGGTTTGAACTATCACCAAATTTTCAGCCCTCCGATGAGACTTTCAGAGAGAGAGAGAGAGAGAGAGAGAGAGAGAGAGAGAGAGAGAGAGAGTTCCTATGGTCGGAAATATCGCCAGATTTTTCAACCGTCAATGAGACTTCGGCGAGTCTTCGAAAACGAGAGGACGAGACGAAGAGGGCTTTATACCACTAGTGCAAAATAGTGATCCGAGGTCTTCACGGCTGGCAGTCGGGAGCAGCTCCCACGAAGATGCAGTCAAGGTTAACCAGATTCCATAGTGGTGGGCGGCGTGAAGACAAAGCCTTTTAAGTCCGATCCGTCCCACTGGGTCCATCTTTGAAAAACGGAAAGGAACCATATGGGAAGCCTTCGTGCCAGAGCCGCCTCTGGAATTCTTATATTTTTTCCCACCAAGTCAACCTCCAACGTAGCTTTATGAAGGGCTAGAGTCAGGAGGAGCACCTACAATCGACTCATGCTTCAAGCTATGTCGGAGCGTTTCACCATTTACTGAGTTTCACCATTAAGATATGTCGGAACGTGAAAACTCGAGGAGCGTTTCCACGTTCCTTGAGTTTTCAGCACAAGAACAGGGACCAGTACGGGCTGACTTCGGGTTGGGTTGGTTGAAGCTTGATCATATATCTTTTCAAAAAGCGATTCTAGTGACTAATTGGTGAAGAGCGAAGAAGATGGAGCCTATGATCGTGTCAATAGCGCACTGGCCAAGCCCATTAAAGCTCATTCCTTATTGAGAGGTCGTAAATAACCTCGTGTAGCCCTAAGAATAATCGGAGAAGAGATTGGTTCGAGGTTTACCTCTTTCGCTCCGCAAGGAGAGGCCGTGAGAGTCACTTATCCATCGCCACCGCCGCCATACCTCGCCACCACCACCACCGCTGCCACCTTCCGCCGTCCACTGCCACCTTCGAGAGTCCGCTGCCACCTTCCGTCCCGATCGTTTTATTTCAAATATTGTAGGAAATCACTCGGTCTTGCTTTAGTTAACTTTCTTAGTCTTTAGAACTTAGCATGAACGAAGTCTAATTTACTTATCTAAGATACTTCGGTCATTTTCATCATCTGGGACCAGTCTCTTCACGATGGGCTGACCAAGTCAACATGTGAACCTAATACTTTTGACAAGAGTATGTTGGAAATTCCCTCCCAGCTCACCGCCCTTGCCAATAGAGCTGCCATCAACCCCCTCTCTCCTTATCTATATGCCCAAAAAAAAGTATACAAGCGATGAATAAGAGAATACTAAGATGCGAGCCAGACAATTTCTCAATTCTGAAAGCCGTCGTTTTCCCTTCTTTTCTCGGTCGTCGCTTTTACCTTTTTTTTATTTCGTAATCCCTAGGGTACGTTAGGACACAACAGCTTAACAGATCTCGCTACTATCTCTGCCTCGGCTTCTAACGGTGTTCATGGATAATCGTAGGTCGTTGGTGACCTGATGAAACTCCGATTCGATCAGCCTCGTGGCTGGTAGCCATCTATCTCGTCCCGATCGTAAGTAGAGGTTCACCATGATGGGAGTGAGGTCCTTTCAGTCAACCATTCGGTATGTGTTTGCCCCCAAACTATATATTAGATCCACCGGACGACAGACTCAATTCCGCAGTGATTACGAGTCGTCATCGGACGTATCCACCGATAGAATCGTAGAATTTCAGCTTTTGGGGAAATCCACCGAAGCTTGGCTGATAGATAGATTCCTGCCCTGCTGCTACTGGAGGGAAATAAAATAAATCAAATGGTTATTTCTTCACCGGCGCCGCCATTTCTTTTTCGTGGTATGAGTCGTTCATCTATTTATTGAAAAAATCTTTCGATTCGTCCGCGCAGGATACAATGTTCTTGCGTTATAAGTGAGAATGCCTTCTGCGGAGATTTTAATTTATTTAATTTTTTATTTTAGATCTGTAAAAATGCTCGTCATTTTCCGAAAACTGACCACGATTCCTTGCTTGGTCTGCATCGAGAATTATTGGATTTCTTTCTGTGTCTACAACATACCTCTCCCAGCTATCTACACAGTAGATTTCTCTACCTAACGCAAACACGCCACTAAGAAGCTCTAACCCCTCTTTCTCAGGTTGCTACTGCAGAGATTCTGAAAAGACAGGAGAAAAAGTACGAAATCACTTGTTTCGACGGCATAACCTAATCAAACTGAATAGACATCGAAGTCATGATCCTTCACATAAATTTCAGCTACGGTTAACGAATGCCATGCAAGCAAGGCAAAGGTAGCTTGCTGGAGTTTTGTGCATTGCTCTATGCATATGGTTCGTGAATGATAAATCTCAAGAGATGTCCGCCGACCGGCGGGATCGTACTTACTCCGGAACAAAAGCTTAATGTGTATTGTGTTGCTTGAGAAAGAGCTTAACATTAAGAGAAACGGACTCATCAATTGGTATAGATGCGTAATGTGTTATTGATTCCACAGTGTCGGTAAACTTATTGAGAAGGTCAACAACCTAATGTCTTCATGTCCCGATGTCTGGTCTTCGTAAATACTGAAGTCGCTCTTCTCTCATTTAGGTTTCAGGAAGGTTGCGAGCTTGTCAACCTCAAGGTCATGTCTTCTTGAGTCAACGTAATTCCATGCGTGCCGTTGTTCAACAACTTCAACATTTATCTCGTGCAGGAAGAGAGTGCCAGAAACCGACCACTGGGTGGTATCCCGGCCAAACGAAAGAAAACCGGATTGGGCCTGAACTAGTACACTGGTAATATCTCTCCATCGCCGTTTAGCCCTGATTCGGCTTTCCTTTGGCAGACGTGGATACCATTTCAACAAAAACGTCTCTCTCTCTCTCTCGCTCTCTCTCTCTCACTCTTACTCTCACTCTCACTCTCTGCCTCCTTCCCTCCCTTCCTCCCTCCCTCTCCAGCTAGCCTCCTATCTCTTATCCTCTCTGTTCGTGTCTGCGCGCTCTTGTGTTTGTGCGTGTATCCCCCCCCCTCGCTCTCTCTGTCTCTGTCTCTCCCTTGTGTGTGTGTGCGTGTCTTTCTCTCTCTCTTTCCCTCACTCACCCGCCCGCAATCAGTCTCTCTATTCCTCCCTCTCATTCTCATTTCACGTCCTTTTAAACCCTTTCCTCTTTTCCTTGAAGGTGATTCTCGCGGAGACTACTTTCAGCTTTCGGCGAGCATAAGGGTCCCTTGCGTGAGCCAGCCCCCGATGACGGATGGCCCCAGCAACGGCCGGTTGGGCGGGGGAGGGGGGTTGGCGGGGGAGCCCATAAAATAAAGTGGGGCAGAAAGCGCGACTGGTCCACTAGCAGTCCGCGGGTACAACCCTTGTGAGACGGCGCCACCAGAGCGACACACAGTTAACGACGGCGGGATTTGGGGGGAATGCGACGGCGGAGGCATTCAATCTTCCGCAACCCGCCCAGGGGGAAGCAAACATAAGACGTGACTCACCTACCCTAGTGACGCTTATTAAAACCTATCGATGGGTAAAACTCTCTCTCCCCTGTCTGTCTCTCCCCTCATCTCTTCCCCCTACTCTATTCTATATAGATCTTCCTCTCTCTGTCTCTCTCTAGCTCTCTCTCTCTTCTCTTTCTCTCCCTGACATGTGTATATGTAGAGGACGGGCTAGAAGCGGGCCGCTTCTACCATTTCTAACCACTCCACTTTACCAGATAAATCCGGTTTGCTTTTAATGTCCGGCGGCGTACCGTATAAATTTCCCCCTCCTACTCTTCTATGGACCTCTGGGTCTACTCCCTCTCTCTCCCTCTGTCTCCCTGTTTCTGTTTCTCTCTCTCTCGTTGTCTGCGATACTAGGGATGGGGAGCGTCACCTTCCTCGGATCGGCGGCGACGATAGCGGCGCAGCACTCGCCTACGGCGCAACAGCACTCAACGTGGTGCTCTCCCGTGCCGTATCTGTTCGGGGGCCTGGCGGCCATGCTGGGGCTGATAGCGTTTGCCCTCCTCCTCCTGGCCTGCTCCCACTGGAAGCTCTCCGGCTACGGGGAGCAGGAGAACAGCGGCAGCGATACCCAGAGCGGGGATGCCAAGGGTGAGGATGGTGATGCCGCCAAGGCCACATGGGCCCCACGGGAGCAGAGGATCGTCGTGATCATGGCGGGGAATGAAAAGCCCAGCTTCCTCGCCACCCCACTTTCTGGTGGAGCCTCTTATTTTGGAGACTGCTCCGGGACGGAGAAGGTAGGCGTCGCCGAGAAGGAGGTGGAAGATTGGACGAAGAGGATGACAGGGAATAGAGACTATGGCGACTCGGAAGCGGTTCAGGTTGGCCACTGAAAGCATAAAGGCCCCAGAGAACTGCTACAACCTAGTGGGACGCGGAGAAGAAATATCTCTCTCCCTCTCTCTCTCTCCCTCTACTCCTCGCTCCCTCTCTCCCTCTATCCCTCGCTCCCTCTCTCCCTCTATCCCTCGCTCCCTCTCTCCCTCTACCCCTCGCTCCCTCTCTCCCTCAGTGTCGTCATCTGTCTCTCAGTCCCTCCGACTCAACACTCCTCTCCCTTTCCGTTTCTCCTGTTTCCTTCTCTTTCCCTCTCTCCTCCATCTTTTTCTCTCTCCCTCTTCCTTCCCCTCCTCGGTCACCTTGCATTCTTCTCTCTCTTTCGCTCTCTGTCGTCTTTTCTCTCTCTTTATCTCTCTCTTTCCGTTTCGTTCTCTCTCCCTCTTCCTTCCCTCTTCGGTCACCTTGCATTCTTCTCTCTCTTTCGCTCTCTGTCGTCTCTCTCTCTCTCTCTTTCCGTTTCGTTCTCTCTCCCTCTGTCTCTTTCCATACCTCTCTCAACCCTCAGTCGTCCTCTCTCTCTCTCTCTCTCTCTTTCCGTTTCGTTCTCTCTCCCTCGGTCTCTTTCCATACCTCTCTCAACCCTCAGTCGTCCTCTCTCTCTCTCTCTCTCTCTTTCCGTTTCGTGCTCTCTCCCTCTGTTTCTTTCCATACCTCTCTCAACCCTCAGTTGTCCTCTCTCTCTCTCTCTCTCTCTCTCTCTCTCTCTCTCTCTCTCTCTCTCTCTCTCTCTCTCTTTCCTTCTTTCTCTCCCTCTCTCTCCTTCCATCCTTCTCTCGAGCCTCAGTCGTCCTCTCTCTCCCTCTCTCCCTCCTTTTCTCTCTTTTTCTTTCTGTGTAGTTGTCAAGAAACGTAAATAACGGACGAAGATGAGAGAGAGGGTGTAACCAGGGAATGAATTCTCCCACCCTTTCTTCCTTCTTCCCATAGGCTTTTCTGATTTTCCGTTTCTCTCTCTCTCTGCCTCTGCGTCGTCTTCCTCGAGATATATTAGGTGACCAAATCCAACAATGATCGCCGATTTTCGTATCGGTCTTTAAATGGACCGAACAGGCCCGACGACTCAGTAGTGTGTTGTGTCTCTTGCCGGAAATGTTGTAAAGATATTATTTATTAGATAACAATAAAACATTTCTGTTATCTGGGCTTCACAGCGTCTTCTAATCTAAGCCCCAAACCCAGTATCGGTTCACAACATGAACTGTTACCTATGTAGGGAGGAGTAGAAATACATTGTTTGGCTTACTAGGAACATGAATCAAGAAGAAAGGAGTGACTTCTCACTTAGTTTCCCCCCCCCCAAGAGTTGTGACGTACAAATAACAAAAAAAAATAGTAGCATATCTTTTTGTTTGCTTGGCACAACGATATGCATAGTATGAGTCAACATATGATTTTCCATGAAAAAAATACTGTTAGGTCACAAATGCAAAACCTGAGGTATAGTAGACATTCTTTTGGAGGCGAATAAACCGAAAGATATGGCATCAAGATATGTAATGTAGACTACTCACTTTTGTGGTTTCAAATAAAAATTCTTTACAGACGTAAAATAAAGCTATATTAAAATGACTGTAACTGAAAATTAACTATTATAATCTACTAGAAATTAGAATTATCGAAGTGTACACAAATAAAATTGTTGAAATTTAATAAATAAAAGCTATTCTTATTCTAAGTACATACCTAGAAGTGTCACTTCTTCAAGATTAAAATGCAATAGAGGTTTTGATTCTGGGGAGGTGGCCAGTAGATGCATATAATCCAGTTGAACATACTTCAGTAGACACAACCCTATGATGCGTTATAATCAAGGTGGAAAGTAATCACAAAATCTGGAAATAATGAAAATTTTCCATTTCTCATCACCCTTCCTTCCATGTATTCGTTCATATTTGTCTCCAAGATGAAACATGATGCTGACAGCACATTATTAGACTGCTGGAATTATGAGTTATATAGATAAACACAATCTGAGAATAAGAATTTTGTACACTATTTCATCTATGGTATGTCATTGGTATGGGATTTCTCATTTCTTCTGATTGGAAAACTCCTCTCCCCAAAGGTGATAGAAATTCTTGCAGCAATGATGCAGCATCGAACCACCCCATGTCAGATCTGTAGCTGCAGGCAAACGAAGGAAAGAGTCAAGACATTCCACGCTCTCAACAAAACCGTCTGACGACAGAACAGCATGGCAAGGGAAATGGTAGTGTCTTGGCGTCATCTCAGGAAGAACGGTTTCAGGGCACCCCTCGTCCACAACGGTACCATAAACCTCCCGAGAGAAGTGATTATCTTTATTATTAACTTAATTTACGTTTTGAAAAAGGCTATAAGAGAGCCACGAGGCTTAGAGGACAAGGGAGCATTCAGAGAATGAATATTTATTCTTTTTGATCTCTGATCCCGTCGCCCCAGCTTAGGTTGGTCGCGAGGGCCCGCTGCTCCCGGTCTGGAGCTTGCCCCCTCCTTTGCTCCATTCTCTTTTCCCGTTACTCACCCTCTCCGCCTTGTCACGTCAGCTAGCTCTCACTTAGCCACAGACGAGAGCGCCTTTCTCCGCTCTTGCTACCCGCTACCATTGTCTTCATTCTTTTCTTTTTCCCCCTCTGCTGTCAACGATCGTCGCCGTCTACCACCGTCGCCACCTCCATCCGTACCTCCGCACTTCATGGTTCTATTCCCCAATCGCTGCCACTGCTGACCAACCCCGCTCTTAACGTATTCCCTTATCATCTTTATCATCATTTCTTCTCTTCGCACACCTATCCACTTATCAGGCAAAGCCCAAAACCATTTTTCGTCCACATCTTATAGACCGCCGTCCACTGACCCACGAGAGCTTGTTTCGAGATCCCAACAGGTTGGGGCCATCCCCAACCTCTCCGTGACTGTCGCCACCAAATAATCTGCTGACTATCCCGCGATATCACCATCGAATCAACGACCTTCCACGATATGGTAAACTCTTTTACTTCTCCATTATTTGTGCATTTAATATATCATCTTGCACCTCTGTTGCTTGAGTGATCATAGGATAGCTAGATTAATTTTATTTGCTTGATCATTAACCCGTGAAAAGGAAGATTTTCTGACGTGTTATAAATCACTCCTATCAGCACTTTTCTCAAACAGCTGGATTCTACTCATTTATCAATTACAGGTGTTTTATCTAAGATATGTCGAGATTTATTTGTTCGTTCTTTTAATCTTTAGTATATTTTCTGGCATAGTTTATATCTTATATCCTACACCCTTTTTTTCATCCGCATCTGGCACAGTGTTTTTTTTTCTTATATCACCCTTTCTTTCTTTTTCTCTCACCCACTGACCCCCCCACCTCCTGCAGATCACAATGCCCTATCTTGGGTCCAAGTCAAGATCCACCCTCTCCACACTGACCCCCCCACCTCCTGCAGATCACAATGAGATAACAAATCGTTCAACGGTTAAAATACAAGATCAAGAGTATAAAAAAAAGACGTAGTCTCCTTCAAGATTATCCAGTTGAGGATTAGGGTTGAAGTACCAAACAAAGTAGTTTATAATTATTTCGGGTGTAGCATTGCTGCCCGGGTGAAAGGTGACCAGCATCGAGCGATACTCCTCGTGTGGCGGCTCCATCATGTGAATGTAAGGACCCTGTAAGGCCTCTGCCAAGCTCGGCTCCAGCTGACGCCCTGCATCGCTCTCTCTCGACTCCTTGACGAGCTCATTGTTAAAGATGATCCTACCCACGCCATCATGGATGGCTACGATGCTCCTTATCCCAGGATCACGATTGGCGTAAAAGAACTGGAGAGTGATGGGATTCCTTGCGCAGTACGCCGTTAGGAAGATGGGGGTATCGTTTTGCGAGGTTTTTGGGTTCCCTTGATGAAGGGGATCTAGGATGGCCTCCGCCTCGAGTAATAGACGTTGGAAGACGTCGGTGGGGGCGTTCTTCGCTCGTCGGACCATGTTGGGGAACCCCATCGATTCGAGCCACATCCACAGGACAACGACTTTCCTGGCCTCGACAGACTCCTTGTTCATGAGCTTCACCCTCTCATAAACCTGGCCCTCAATCCAATGGAGGCGTAGAAGGTCCTGGGTGATTGGCAAGGCCATCAGTGGAGGAGGAAGAGACCGTCGAGAAGGAATAGGATCGGTTGGCTCTTCTTAGGGTTTTGATGCGGTAGCAGGAGTCTATGAGAGGTTTCCATTTATACCGTGGAGAGTGCACTATTTGGTGACGGAAACGGCAGAATGGGCGTCGTTCCGAATGGGAATGGGGAAAGAACTTTTAGGTGGCGACAGTTGTAAACTCCCGAAATCCTTCTCTTTTTCCCTCTCCCTCTCTCTCTCCCCCCTCCCTCCCTTTCTCTCTCTCTCCCCCTCTCTCTCTCTCTCTCTCTCTCTCACACACACACACACACACACGCACGCACACACACATGCACACACCACAACGCACACAATCAGTAAGTCACCTTCTCTCCCCGTTGTTGAATCCAAGTGGCTTGTGGGAATAATATCTTACTATGTATTAGAGTTTGCATGGAATATCTTACTATGTTCGGACGGTCTATCATTTTTACCGACGCCCGCACTGTTTCAAAGGTATCCTTCGATATTGGTAACCCGACACGGTTGAAAAAGTCAGGAATGAATCAAGGGGCAAAGATTTTGTGCGGGATCGTTTGGTTCTTGAAAAAAGCGACTGTTGAATGTTAGCCTGGTTTACGCCGACACTGAGAAGACAAGGCCCCGCCTCTTGGAGACGTTTGAACAAAAAGTAGAAATGCTGAAACTACGGTTCAGAGACCGACTCAACTGTTGATGATTTTTAATCGCCGTGTTGGTTCTGCAGAGAATTTGGGATGAAGAGCATCACAGAAGCAATGAATGTTGCTCGGTCAAAGGTTATCAGGTTCTCGTTTTGGATTCGCTCTTAGTCCTGAAATACTTAACCACTGAAATTCACGTAGCTTGAAATTTGAAAAATGGC